ATATATATATATATATATATATATATATATATATATATATATATATATATATATATATATATATATATATATATATATATATATATATATATATATATATATATATATATATTCAAAGGATATTGGGTAGCGGTCCGTGGTTAAAAAACGAAGAAAAAAAGCTCTTTTTCTTTAACACTCAATATTTCGTCAATTTATTTGTGAGGAGTGAACTAAAAATCAATGAAAATAACTGATCAAACAATATAACAGACAATTAAGACACAAATCACCGATATCGTGAGAAATACTTACAAAATTAATGTTTACGACATAGTTCCTCAAAACAATACTCTACAGTTGAAATTTGTTAATTTTTAATAATGGTAGGCAAAAGTTTCGCTAACGGGAGTAGCGAAAAAAAGCAATATAGGTACAATCGAAATAAATGATGACAAAAAGCATAAGAATAACCTACTTCGTGGATCAACGTGGCAGAATATTACATTATCTGTTGTTCGAGTAAAAAATGTTATAGTATATATTGCTTATTTGCTGTGTATCAAACTTGTAGTTAATTGAATTTTTGTTTGTGTAAATATGGCACATTTCAAGAAACAACCGGCCTTTATAATTCTTGACACATTGCAATATTATAGGATTGAAGTAGTCAGATTCGTGTCCTATTTTTATGTAATGTTCAACCACCGTCGAAGTATTCTTATGAATACGGCTATCACTTTTGTGTCAAACGTTGTTTCAACCACTGTAGAGGTCTGTCCAATATAACATTTAAAAATATTTGCAATAGATTCTGCGAGGTATCTTTCTGTAATACATCCGAGCGCGAATTCAGGCGTCTTCTATTAAAACTAAATATATATTCTTCATAACTCAATATATATATCCATGTTAGTAATACTGTCTATATTACTCAATATATCTCTGAAGTTTTGAACAGGAACCGATAGACGATGTTGCATACATAGTTATCCATATCGCATCGAAAATTACAGAATTTTGGACAGTTTATTTTTTTCATCAACGATTTATTCATTACATTAAGCTTACCTCGTTTGCGTTTGCGGATAACCCAAAAATCTTTCTGGACATTACCAAAGTAGCTTAATGTTATACAGAAGAATTAGCAATATGCTGTTGGAATATACACTCAATTTCACTTTTATTGAGCACATATCGAGAATAAAGGCAAAAGTATCCAAATTATTGGAGTACTGTATTAGAAATCGGCGAAGTCTGTTTACACAAGTTTACATCAACCTTTATAAGGAGTAAATTGCAATATTCATCTATAATATTTTGATTTGATCAACTTTTGTCAGATAGACTTATTCATATGTGGCCAGGCTGTATCAACTCGTTGATAAATCTATAGACAGTCCGGGAAAAGGCTGTTTTTTTTTCACGCTATGATTCACGAAGGGCTGACTATTTTTTTAAGGGTAGGACCAACAAATTATGAAATGTATCTAAATTTTAATTAATTTGCTAACTTGTGTGATGTTAACTCTGTCTCACTATACACTATTGTTTGTAATTGTAAAAATAGTCTAAAGAATGACAAACTCATTTTCCGCTTTCCTTTCCTCTCACCTCCCTTTTGTTATGTTGTTTGTCTTTTTTTAATTAATGGTATGAATAATTTGTTATTGGGTATAACACGTAATTAGTGCGCTGCCATTTATTATTTTGTGTTATTTTATGTATTTTATTGTATTGTATTTTTGTACAAATGGTGTATATATTTGTGTGGCTCTTTATGCAAATATTTCCATAGAAATTTGTTCAAATTATTTTTTACATATTTGAGGCCCGTGCTTATGAAATTAGTTGTCTCATGGTAATTAAACGGACAATTCTATTCATGATATAAGATTAATGATTCAAATTGCGAGAGTTAGAAATTGGTATGTCCGTCGCTGGGATCCAAAGGATATGTTGTGACTCAATAGCTATAGAGCTTTATTTAGGTGCCCTTTTTTGATTAGACTCCACAGATTCGATAGTAGGTGTAGCTCGTTGCCTCTTGCTTGATTATGCCCAGCAGATGAAACCATGTTCGTGATAAGTCTTCATATTGGCCATATCACATGGGAGACTTTTTTCTCCTCTTCTTCCACTTTCATTAGGCTCAGATACCATTTCGCTCTTAGGTGGAACATTACAATCACGACGTAGTCTATAGCAGAAAAGTATGCCATGGCAAACCTAGGCGCAACTAAAATTTTGTTTGATAATTTTAATTCAATCATGTAAAAAATAAAACTTTTTAATAAGGTCAATGTTTAACGCACATTTCAAAAGTATCTTTGATTCCAATTTTATTATTTGACGAATAAATTGAGCGGTAAAGCTTTAGATGTTTGAAAAAAACTTCTTTCCATATATGCAAGTTGGTTAGTTAAATTGTTTGTAAGTTGGAGAACTTTGTTTTCACATCTTGAAAAACGATTTTGTTCAATCTATTTTACTGTTAAAACAATAAAATTATGTAACAATAATTTAACAAATATTCAAATGAACTTAGTATGGTTTTATTATAATTATTGTGGGAAAATGATTTTACGGCGTTCCATATAATTCCGTCTGCATCTTAACAATTCAATTAATTAAACTTGATAAAAATTCATGATAGTGTTCCTTATTTACTTCAATCCACTTGGCTATTAATCTTCGTGGCCTAAATAAGTAATTAGAACAATTAAAATAGTGAAGGGATAATACCGCCAACCCTCCTATGGTCTATGCAAATCTCTGACGGGTCTTTTTAATATCTTGCTATCAAACTATATGGAGGTATTTTATATCAATATTATCGACGAGCTATTCATGTGCTTTGCGTCCTTGTCAATTATGCTTCTACATCTTCACTGCCTCCCTTAAAAGGGCCTTTTCTTTCGAGAAAGTGCCTCTTGGACCGTTTGGATTGTCCATCGGGCTCAGTGAATTGAGCTCTTAGTGGTGCGCACCTAGGAGATGAATTGGGATTTCTTTTCTTCTAAACACAGCGTACATGTACCACCGTGGTCCACTCCCATGAGTGGTGCCTTCCTATAGGGCATTCAGACCTTCCAATCTATCATGCTTGCAAATATCTTAGCTCCATCCCCTCCATCCCCTAGAAGAGTACTGTCCTGCATGAGGAGTAGGGGCTGCTAGTACTCCTAATCGGCTGCTCTAGTGGTGCGCAGCTAAGAGATGAATTAGAATCCCTCTTCTTTTAAACACAGCATACATATCATCGTCCAACTACCTTTTTAGATGGCAATGTCGCTATCGTTCGCAGTCGCCCGTGATCGAGACTGAGGGACCTCTTTTCGTCCTCATTTCAAACTCAATTTTTAAAGAAAACTGGCTCCCGAACCATTTATTCAGCTCTCTCTTCGCCAAGCTATTCCAACGAAAGGATCCGGTTGAAGATGCGACAGAATTATATTCCGTCAGTCTTCTAAATGTTTGTCGGTAGTCAAGTAGCAGTCCCGAGTTCACCCTCAGAGATATGAGAGCTCGGACAGACGCTCTCATGATATTAATTATTTTATATTATATATTAAAGAGTTACCTTGAGATAACAGTTCTACTGATATCGGAAAGTTATGCAGTGTTAGACCCATTTACGAAAAAGGTGACAATTTAGCTATCAGTAATTTTCGTCCCATTTCATTACTTTGTAATTTTACCAAGGTTTTTGAAACACTCCTGTACAATAGATTATACAATCATTTAAAAAACTGTTCAACATCAAAGCAACATGGTTTTATCACTAATGTGGCAAATATCACCCGAGTTATAGCTGAAAATCTAGATTTGCGATCTCAAACTGATGTTGTTTATACCGATTTTTCGAAGGCGTTTGACAGACTTGATCGTGGGTTACTTATTTCTAAGTTAAATAATTACGGATTAACATTACCTCTAATTAATTTACCTTCTCTCTTCTCTCTATCAATCAATCTTATCTAAAAGATCGGTGCCAGTTTGTTATATTTGGTGGACTCGTCTGTTGAATAGAACGCAACCTCTGGTGTTCCTCAAGGCAGCAATTTAGGCCCCCTTCTATTTTAAATTTTTATTCAATTAATGACATTGTCTAAAGTGTTGATGTTAATTGCTGACGATCTAAAGTTGCTCTGCCAAAACCTGTCATTGAATGTAAAGCGTATTGAAAACTGGTGTGTCCATAATAACTTGTCGTCAAATCCCATCAAATGTATCATGACGTATTGACTTCAAAGAATATTATCAGATATGATTACCAAATCAATGACATCGTACTTCAGCGTCCAGCTACTTTTATTGATCAAGGTGTCACTTTTGACCCTAAACTTTCTTTCATTCCACATATTGATTCCGCTGTGTCTGCCGCGAATAAAATGTACGGGTTTATAGCACGGACCTCTCGAGACTTAACAGATTTAGAAACTTTAAAGACTCTATACCACCCATGTGTTAGATCTAAATCTAAATGAGAATACGGTGATATTATATGGAGGTCGTTTTACCAAATCCATTCAAGGAAGCTGGAATCTGTACATCAAAAATTCTTGAAACTCTTGCCTTTCAGATATGATAATAAGTATCCCCCAATTGATATAAGCAATACTTCGCTTCGTAATAGGTATAACGTACACAAAGTTTGTTGATCCGGGCCTCTTATTAAAATTGAACTTTGGTGTTTCCAAGTTTACCTCAAGAGTAGATCAAACCTTTTACCTTTCTACGCCGCGTACGAATATTTTAAAATATTCTGCTTTCCACAGAATGGCATATAATTATTTTTGTTTTATTTTACGCCGTATTAGCATTGTGCTGTCGGTTTACATTTTTTTTCCTTTTTTATATTATATTTGTCACTTATCTCCCTGTTCTGTAGTTGGGCTTATCCTGTTGAACAGTGTATCTAAATAAATAAATAAATAACCTTGCGGACCTTCAAAACAATGACCACTAATTGTAAACTCTATTCTTTTTGCAATTAGAGTCCACTCGTTCCATTACAGGTACGACGTTCGATCAAAATCAGAGGCCGTCGCAAAGACAAGGAAAAACTGCCCTCGGGTATAACGGCGGACTATACCGCCGACTTTTTGGCCAGTCTGGAGCGAAACGATTCTCCCGTGTCGACCATTCCGGGTTCGCCGAGCCACAACATCAACCATTCCGAGTGCGGTTACACGCAATCAGACAGCTCAGAAACGAGTCTGAATTCCATCAACCACCAGAGCGGACCCCCGCTACCTCCCAAACCTCCGAAACCACCGAAAAGGGGTATATTGAAAATGCCCAAAGTTACCCTTACCCAGGATAACGGCCACGACGCCGTCGACCATTCGAGCTTGGTGCGGAACACACTGCAGAACGAGTTGATCATGTTCCAGCATTCGGAAATGATGTCGTACCAGAACCTGCCCAACCAGAACGGTCTCAACGGCAAAAGCATGAGCCAGCAGCTCTTGGTGATCACGTCAACCTCTCCGAGCGCGGACAGTTTGACGGATACGACGAACTCGTCGTTTGCCACGCCCCCTTTTTCCCTAAGCCCGGTGGGCGAGTCGCAGGGGTTCCACAGGTACTTTCACGTCCCGTTAGGTTCGATATTATTCGTTTTCATCTTTTGGGTACCTGTTTAGGTGGTCCAGGACCTCGAACTTCGACGACGTCAACCTTCCCCTGCCTGATATCGTGCCGATGGTGCTGCCTAAGCCGCGGGTGCTGGTGGTGCAGCGTCAGAAACCACCGAGGAACGATTTCGGATTCTCGCTGAGACGCGCAATGGTTCTCGAACGGAGCACCCGTTCCGGTGGTGGCGGTTTCGACGGGGCGGTAGCGAACGGGGCGGGAGTGAATATGCGGGCGGTTATTTTCGCGGAACCGGGCGCCATGGTGCAGCACAACAACGAAACTGGACTGTTGCCTGGTGATAAATTGTTGGAGGTGAACGGGGTGAGCGTCGAGGGGAGGAGTCGCGAGGAGATTATCGATATGATCAAGGCGTCGGGGGACAGCGTTACGCTAAAGGTGAGTCGCATCTATTTCGATTTATGGTTTCTAAGCTATACGAAAAGAAAGGGACACGTGGAAGGGGAATATCACGGAGATTTCAGTTTTTGTTGGCCGAGGGTTTGGCTTAGGTTTTCGTATTCATTAAGAATTGCAAATACCTTACCCTCAATCTATTGTTAATCGGATCGCATATGGACAACAAAAAGGGTGGATCCCGTATCCGCGAAACATTTAGGATAGAATATCCGCGACGAGTCCATCCCTGGTTTCAGTCGGCCATCTGGTGGGTTCCATCGGCAGGGAATACTAATGAGTTTGATAGACCGATGGTACTTGTGCTTTAAAAATTTGCCCACATTGAATATGGGAGTGTTTGACTAACAAAATATTACCTGACGATGAATAAAATAACAAATACATTATTGAAAAAGAAAATTGGTCATAGTAGCTGGCCTAACAGTTAGCCTAACAGTTAGTAAGTAAAGACAAAAAACACAATTTATAGTGCTTTTTAAAAGCTTCTTCTTAAAATATTTGGTATTCTCATTCAATTGTATCTACAAAAAATTGTTTCCAATTGATTGAAATCAGAATATTGTTATTGCATAAATTAACTTTCTTGCATATCCACTTTTTATACTTTACATACTAGATGTATTGCGGGTATATATTCTACAGATTTTAAGCTTTAAACCTAGCATATTAAAAACTAAGAAAAACATTGGTAACGGAGCTTGTACTAAAAAAATGCTTCTGCTAAAGACTGGTATGTATTAAAAGTTTCCGGAAATACAGGCTTCTATCGTATAGTTCTATATCCCATCTACATAGATTGAATATTTGTGATATTTCATCATGTAAGAGTTTAAAAATTTCTCAGACGATGAATGACATGGTCCTTATATTTTCAACTGAGGCTCTAAGCAGCGATGTTAATCGACGTCATTGGCGGAGGTTCATTAGCACTTAACTCCAAAACTTAGTCACTCGTGGCGACTTTTGCTTTAGCATTTTCAAAATCATGGCGACTTTCACATCTTTTAAAGTGACTTTCGCTTAAGACTGCAAAGTTATAGCGACTTTCGCTTAACACCTTCAAAACCATAGCGACTTTCGCTTACACTACAAAGCCATAGCGACTATCGCTTAACACTTCATTATCATGGTGACTTTCACCTCTTTCAAAGCGACTTTCACTTTCAACACCCTTTATTTATATTTTCAAAAATCATACCGACAGTCGCTTAATACCTTCAAAACCATTGCAACTTTCGCTTACATTACAAAACCATAGCGACATTCGCTTAACACTTCAAAATCATTGGCGACATTCGCTTTATTTATACTTTCAAAAATCATAGAAACTTTCGCTTAATACTTTCAAAACCATAGCGACTTTCGCTTAACAGTTGCAAATCGTGGCTACGTCCGCTTACACTACAAAACCATAGAGACTTTCGCTTACTAATTCAAAATCATGGCGACATACACTTCTTTCAAAGCGACTCTCGCTTAACACTTTCAATACTACATCCACTCTTTATTTATACTTTCAAAAATCGTAGCGACTTTCGCTTAACACCTTCACAACCATTACGACTGTCGCTTACATGACAAAACCATAGCGATTTTCGTTTAACAATTCCAAATCATGGCGATTTTCGGTTCTTTCAAACCACAGCGACTTCCGCTTTATTTATACAGAGCGACTTTCGCTTACACTACAAACCACAGCACACATTTCATAAGCGAATTTCTCTTAACACATCAAACTCATAGCGACTTTCGCTTTATACTTTCAATACCATGGACAGCGACTTTTGCTTTGAAAATATTTACAAACTTTTATCTTACCTTATTTTACCTAGAAATGTAATAAAAGAATTTTCCTGTTGCGTGACAACTTTTGATTACAAAGGCTCACACGGCCAGACGGCGCTTGTTTGTCCGGGTAGATAAGCGGGTTACGTTATTGGAATTCTTCATCGACGAGGCGGTGGCGTGTAGATCAAAATGGAATGCCCAATCGACATCTATCAGAGAATTTTTCAAGCCACCCTGTGAACTGTAATCCGATGCGCATACAAAATCTAGACGGCTTAAGCAAAAACAAGAGAGCACAAACCGAAACAAATTCGTACTACAGAAGAGAGGCCGATGCATCAACGGATGCGAGTCCGTCCATTATAGTCTCGTTCGATGTAATTGGGTAGTAATTAGCGATTAATTTTAAACCGCGCTCGTTTTGAACGTATACGGTTTTGAAGTAGCCGTCGGAATTTCAGGCGCTGGTTTCTCGTCAGCGAATAAGTAATTGTACCGGCTATTGTGCCGATATGAGTGCCCGTCGCTCCCAAACATGACGTATATTTCAGTATGAGTCATTGGTTCCTGCTGGTAAACTGATGACACTAACAGACGGCGACGTTTTAATACGTTTTTAACATCGACACCTCATAGGTCAAAGTGTAAATTTCTCCGGATGGCAAAAAAAACCCAATAAAATTGTAATAACAGCACTCTGTATTAGGCAATGTGTTTTTATTAAAGATCAATTTATTAGTACATAAAATGCACAATAAATGGACAAAAAACAATAATTTAAAAAAATGAGAGTCACTTATCTATCTAAACCTCAGTGTGTAGATTCACTAAAATAATAGTGGATTAGGATTCCTTGGGTGTGGCGTTCGGTTCGATCTGATAATTCACTCCTTCAGCCCCCCTCAAACCGTGCACTCGTGCAAAATCCGTTATTCCAGTGTTATTAGAGTGTCTTCGTATCAGAGCTGTGAATTTTATCTGTTATCCTGGCATTTATTGTATTTATTCACTTATTTGTAACATCTCTGCTTCTTTCTTCGCTAGAAGGTTCGCTCTTTCAGTCAGTATTACCTTACATGAATAGGACCTTTTGTCTGATCCTAGCAATTCTGAAGCTCAATGCCAATATCCTGTGGATAATATTATAATTTTTTAAAAGTCTTATTAACTTCCAACAACGTTTGTCGTGTTAAATTAGAACACTACCTAATTCTTTTTTGGGGTATGACAGCTTTTTTGGTAACATCGTGCCTTTATCGGTTACAATTTTCACATGTCTACAAATACGTAGGGGTTCTAATTAATTCTAACACACAGTTGTCCATTAAGTAATAAATTTGAATATCTCATTTTATTTTTCTCCTATATCTTCCAACAAGTTGTATATTTTAAACTGTAGATTACAATTACATTACAATCTTCCGATGTCTACAAATACGTAGAGGTTCTAATTAATTCTAACGCATAGTTGTCCATTAAGTAATAAATTTGAATATCTCATTTTATCTTTCTCCTATACCTTCCAACAAGTTGTTCTATATTTTAAACTGTAGATATTTGAGTTTTTGGTCGTTTAGTATTACCTTATATGAATAGTAACATGAATATTACCTTTTGTCTGATTCTAGCAATTCTCAATCTCAATTGATACTTCGGCACTTTCCATAATGCCAACTCTAACCGTTTCATGCGTTTTAGATCCCAAGGGGACCAATGATCTTATGCCCCTAAGAGGTGAGTTTTGCACTGAGCCCACTCCACTCTGCTCGGCAGATTCACTTCGTAGGGGAGGCTCGTCATTAATGTGATAGGCATCATGTCTGGTGGTATCCCAGAATACCGTCGTTTCATACCGTATCCAGCAAATTAGTATCCTTCATAGCCCTGCTCTTGCCTCTCCCTCCAGATGTATCCCTAGTCTAGCAATTTGCGCCGCCAGACGACAGCGATACGCGATCGTGTATAGTCAGTAAAGAAGGAGGTACCAAATGGTCTAGTTTTCTTCTGCGGGTGAATGTTGCTAGTACCGGAGCTTTGGTCATCCTTTCCCTCCAGAACCATGCAATTTACGCGGTTACGTATGCCTTCCATAGCAACAGGATGCCAGTAGGTCGTCTGACAGTAGAGTCCATAAAAGGGGGATAACATGCCGCCTTCTATCATAATAAAGGGTTTTCCAATAAGAGGTGTTATTTTGATATTCAAACAAATACAGATCAATGAGATAAATAATTATCGGATTTTTATTTTAATGTAAAGAGGAAGGTATACCATTAATAATGGACAACAATATCAGTCAAATGACCACCACGGCTAGCTACGCTTGCCATCACAATTTCGCAAAGTGACTGGTGCATGCCCTCAGTAGCTTCAAGAATTCCATCTTTGCGGTTTTGAATTAATGCTGTGCTTTTGGCGTACACCTTATCTTTCACGAGCCCCCAAAGGAAGAAGTTGCAAGGTGATAGAGTCACAAGATTTCGGGGGCCAATTATGATCACCTCTTCGAGAGATAATACGTTACGGAAACTTTTTCCGTGAAAGGTCGATGGTTTCATTGCTTGTGTGGCACGTATAAGCCTTAAGATCAAAGTGTCTATGCAAAATACGATGTAATGATGTTTGCGGAATGCCCAATTCCAAAGAATGATGAGTAATGGACAAAACAGGGTTTTCTTCAACACTTTGGGCAGCAATATTCGCAGTTGTTCTTGACAGACGTGCACGGGTTTTATTCTTTACATCACTAATTTGTTCTAACAGCCCGATTTTTTTTACCAATTTCTGTATTGAGAGCCGACAAGGTGTTTTAGTTTTACGAACGGGCGCTGCCCAGTTTTCGCCATTTAAATAGTGAGATTTAATAACTTGCGTTGTTGAAGCGTGTATCTTTCCATTTTTATTAATGGAGTAGTTTCTACTTATCAAATGTCAAAAAAATACAGCTTCAAAAATAACATCTACCGAAATAGCGCGCTTTTCAAAATAACACATCTTATTGGAAAACCCTTACATAGTGACTTCTATCCCTTGACCTTTTGAGCGATTCTAGTATAGGAATATAGCCAATAAGATCTTTTTGTTCTTTCCATCGGGTTGATTTAACTGCTTGGCTTGCGTATCGGTGGACACGACGAGCTTCCCCTCTAATCTTCTATTTCAGCTGACTGAAAAATAGTTGTTCCATGCCA